AAAGATTTATCGGTGCAACTGCGCTGATCTTTATTAAATTGGGAATAAAAAGGGGAGCCGCCGCGGAGCCTTCGTTCGGTGCCCTAGATCTCCTGATTCGCGATGCATTACTCGAGCAGATCCACGCTCGAGTTCCCATGAACCCATCCACCAATGACCTATACCGCGACTTACGAGCCCGTGAGCCTGTAATACAGACGAGAGGGAAAATCATCTTCGGGAGAAGGGATTCGCCATTCTCTCCTTTCGTAGGATCTAAGACACACTTACGACCCGGATAGTGGTATATGGTAGTCGCGTAACATCCATGGTGCCATCCCGAGCACTCGTCTCCCTCGCGCTCGACATCGTCGCACCGACAGTACGTCGTTAGGACGAATATAGCTATAGGAGTTTAACGCCGCTCCCGAGTCTCCCGGGTCCCAAATATAATAGACGCCGAAGAAGAAGACACGTCCTACCGCGCCGCTCGAAGTAAGTAAGGAACGATCAGCGTACTCATCATCGCAAATCGCTTTCGCTCCGATATTCATGTCAGCGAATAATGCGGCGCTTTCGTACGTATTATGCATCATACATCACATGCTGACAGATGATTAACATTTAATCGAGCACCCGGTGCCCCCATCGAATATTGATGACTGCCTCGCGCTGTGTGTGCACGCGGAGACCCACTTACCTCAATAAAGGAGAGATAACATTACCGCGGGATGTGTGACTCCGCGAAAATCTCACTGCATTTCTAATTCTATTAGGAACATTAAAATGCCCGACCTTCCGTTCATTTTCATTTAATCTTACAATTCCTATTGAATCTCGTAACTTATAACGGTTATAATGATGTAGTCATACAGAACGCAATAATTTGACGCAATTTCGCGTCATAAAAATGTAAATTTTATCATGTGGAAGGCGCATTCTAAATTCTGCTTCACAGGTATGGCGAGCACGGTACCATGGTTGCTGTCAATGTCGCTACTGGCCGTCCCAAAATTTGCGGCTTACACGGGTCCCAGTTTTCTATCCAGGGATCTTCAGGCACCCGCATTGCCGTTGACTTCGGCCATTTTCACTCCACAGTTCTTTTCGACGCATGTAAGACGCAACATAAACAGTTTTATTATTAACTTATATATACATAATCAATTATAAATTGATTACAAATTATCTTTAACTAATTTTTCCTTTAAATTTTCGAATTGAGATATATATCTAAAAAAAAATGTATTACACATGTAATAATATTTGCTTTTGTTTACGACATTTATTAGTTTGTTTAGAATTATTTTATTTAAAATAATAACGTGTTTCATGAAATTTCGTCGTGCCTTGCTAGAACATCAATTACAAAGATTCCCCATCTCCATCGTCGGCTTACGATGAACACGCCGGCTCGTCACGTTCACGGAATTGCGATAATCACCAGCCGGAGGAAAAATCACCGATATCCACGAACGTAGGCAATCTTTACGGATCGACGCCACAATCACGGCATCGCGTTGCTACATCCAACAACTTGGGAAGAAGCGGCCCCTCGAGACCCGTTGGAAGAGCCATCGATTTGTTCCGCGCGGATCCTCACTCGGTCAATCAATTGGACTTCCACGATTTCGGCGACGGTTTCGAGCCGGGACGCATTATAGACGATTACGTTGGTCCCGCTATGGAACTAGTACGTGACAACGTGACGCTTTTTGTTGTTTAGGCGAAAGTGCCCGAAAGGTTTCACAACATCTACATGTCGGCGATTCTGAATCGTAATGCTCGACGTGAAGAAAGTCTCTCGAACAATTTGATACAGGCCATCTGCGTGTAACAAATTGTTAATCATACTGTTAATACGCGCAGTTTCATTAATATAAGAAATAATAAGTCAACGGTCGTCATGATCACGCTTTTCTACTTGTCAGTAATTTTTTCACAAACATTTTTGCATGCTGCATTCAAATATAATCGATTATTATATATATCTATATAATATATCAAAGTGATAAAAAGGTCACTGTCCCATTTTACAGATTTATCTTATGAAATAGAAATTGTTTCATTGACGAAAAACTATTTACATTTCGGGATGATATAACTATTGTGGATTTTTTGCAACAGGTTTTATATTCATCTATACCTTTTCTTTTAACAGGTGTACGCCTGGTCCACGATTGATTTTGAATTCGACAGTATCGACGCGCGAGATAATGCTATATTCGATGGCGACTATATTGCGGAGAATAACTTGCCGTTGGGCCTGGAGGTTTGGCGCGATAAAGTCTTCATTACTCTGCCAAAGTGGAGGACTGGCATACCGGCGACTCTGGCTACCGTACCCAGACATTCCAAGACGAGGAGCCCCAAATTAAAACCGTACCCTAACTGGCAGTGGCATCAGCCAGGTTATCTCTATGCTAATTATCAGATCCCGCGAAAAGTTCTTTGCCGTTTTTTTTGAAAACTAATTTCGAGGTTTTAATGTGCACGGGATTATTCTTGATAATTAATTACCATATGCAATTATAGTTATTTTCACTTTTAGATAATCTTAAAGTTAACGAAGTTTCGAAGTTAATGAAGATAAATATTCAGTGCTACCGAAATAACAATCCGTTGAGCTGTTTTTATTTTGTAAATTTAAATTTAGCTAGAAAATAGATGTGCCTCGAAATACGCGACAGAAATTTGAGAAAAATGCTTACTAATCCAAAATACAGTTTTAGTTCCAATGTGAAGATAAGAAAGTGATTCGCGCGTAGAAAGATTCTGCGAGAACTGATTGTGAATTATACTAGCATTAAGCCTACACGAAGAGTCTGAGAATATAAGAAACAGCAATATTATTTCCACAATCAAGAAATAATATTGCAATCAGGAAAACGCGGAAACTGAGTAAAAGAATTTCTCACGCTAATTGTCTCGCGACAACAAATGAACTCGTCTTACCATACCATTCCCTGTTTAACGAAACAACAGCGAACACTGTTAAGAGATATTTAATGTCTCACGAGAGAACAAGCCCGTAAGTTAACGAACCAAAGAGAAACGTAAAGAAATTTTAAACCAATTTGAAAAAATATAGCTTTGCTAAAGAAACGGCAAAAATTTCCGCGAGATTTAATTTATTTAAAGTTTATCTACAGATCCACTCTATCTGAACTCGTTTCATCTCTTTCCAGGCACTTGCGAGAGTTTAACGTCAGTCTTTCGAGTTCAAGTGGACGAGTGCGATCGGCTGTGGGTCCTCGACTCCGGCAAGACGGAGCTCGCCAAAAGATCCAAACAGCTCTGTCCGCCCGCCATATTCATCTTTGATCTACGCACCGACACGCTCATCAGGAAGTACACGCTGCCGGACGAGCAGATCAAACAGGACTCCTTGTACATCAACATCGCGGTGGATATCAGAAACAATGACTGCGGCTCCGCGGTGGCGTACCTGGCCGACGTCTGGCGATACGGTATCGTGGTATACGACTTCTTCAAGGACTCCACCTTCAGAATCGAGCATCACTTCTTCTATCCCGATCCCCTGGCGTCCAGATACGAGCTGCACGGTATAAAGTTCCAATGGACCGACGGAATATTCGGGATAGCGCTCAGCCCCGTGGACGTTCACAACGACAGAACGCTGTTCTTCCATCCGATGTCCAGCTTCCGGGAGTTCGCCGTGTCCACGTCGGTCTTCGACAAACAAAACGGGGAATACAACACGGAAAAATTTATGCCCGTCGGGAAGCCCAGAGCCAAGGATTACGGCCATGCCTCGGGGTCCGCCATCGACAGGAACGGCGTCATGTTCTTCAACATGGTCACCAGGGACTCCGTGTGGTGCTGGGACACCAGGAAGGAATACATACCGCAGAATCTGGGAGTGATCGGGACTAGCAACGAGTCCTTGGTGTTCCCGAACGACATTAAAGTGGATCACGAGACGGATCAAAGTGTGTGGCTGCTCTCAAACCGATTGCCGATGTATTTGTACGGGACACTGAATAGCGGGAGCGTTAATTACAGAGTGTTCAAGGCGAACGTTAAGGAGGCTGTCAGGGATACCGTCTGCGATCCTAATTACGTGGTTCCTGACACGGATCCGGGCCTCGACGATACTTGCTGAAAACGGGCCATCGCTGTCTATTCATACACACCTCGTCATATTAAATTAATTTTCCATAATTTCAATTACAGATTTCTAAATATTAAAATTTCTCTTATTTTAAAGTCTAAGTATTGAAGTCTTCAGCACTGAATTAGCATTAAACATCGAATTGTTCACGGAGACTTCTTTTCTTAGATTATTCCGTTTATTTATTGCATTTTTGATTATCGCCAATTGTAAACTATGATAAATTGAACGGTTTAGTAGACATACTTATCACTGTACGATATTTAACACACGTTGTTTAGCACAAGCACGTTATTTAAATATTCCTATTACTGTAAGCAGTGCAAGTCTTCCGAGTTACCAATGATTAGACAATTGTATGTAAAATTTTTAGCATAAATATATTTTGTACATACGTAAACTGTATTTGTATAAAACTTTTACTAAATATATATAAATTTATTATATCTGATAAATGTGAAATATATTGCTATCGCGGGTAACATTCCTGTTAATTTACGACGATTGCTTAAATATTATCTCATGTCAAAATCGATCGATCAACTTCAAACATAATTAGCACTTATCATATTGAAGATGTACAAAATTTTGTTAGGATGATGATAATGATGTTTTGTAATCACAAATTTGTCAATTCAGAGTTGCATCGCAATATCTCTCTATTACAAAAGATTATTTGTAATTTAATAACGGAAATTAGTAATTAAATAACCAAGTTTGTAATATTTGGTATCTTATTTTTTTGTATTATATACAGATTAATTTTTGCACAGATAGCTCACTTTACGCGATGTCTACGTTAAATGTTATTTAAAGACTAAATATCTATGTAAGCTAACAACACGTTCAATTTCTGTTATTGAGAATTATGCATAATCTCTTATTTAAGGAGTGTTAAGAGAGCTAAGGTATGGGATCGGTTAAAAAGTCCTCCATCAAACTGCCGTCTTCCAACGAAACCGGTGTTCCTGGATCATCGTTTCTCTCGTAAGTAAAATAAAAACTATCATCCTGGTGAAGATTATCGTCTGAATGCATCTTGAAAATTTTTTCTGTCAAAAATTCATTTGCTTCTTTGTAAACCTCTGTACTTTCGTTTTCGCTCTTTGCGCCATCGTGCATCGTAGTTTCTAATTTGAAAGTTTCAATATTCCGAAATTGTGGAATTGTATCACAGTTCGTAGTTTTTAAATTCGATGTTGACTCTTTTCTTTGATTATTCAACGTAGCTGCGCTCTCTGAAAGTTGGCTCAATTTTTGAAGCTCTTCATCACACGATCTTAATGCGTGGCAATTATCTGATTCAATAAATGACGACGGACCGGGGAAAGATGATTTCGAAGAATTCTTAAAAATACGATTAAACGTACTTTTCTCACTTTTGTTATCCAACGTGTCATTGTTATTATTATTATCAGATAATTGTAACGTTGTATTGTTACAAGTACTTTCGAGGGATAAATTATTCTCGTTTTCAGAATGAATATCGATTGTGCTTAAATATTTTTCATCTCTCGAATTATTTAATTTTTCTAATAAATTATACGATGTAACGTTTACGTCATCCGGACAATTATCATCACTTGAATTCAAAGTTTGCTCAATTTCGTGAATTGCATCATCAACGTCCGCGTTATTACGCGAAGAAATTCTATCGCACTTATTATTATTTTCTTCGTCGAGATTTATGTCATCCGCATTGGATTCTCGAGCTTGAGGATTGCTATGTACATTCACATTACTTACGTACTCTTTGTACTCATCGTTCGGTGACGCAACATCGCGTATACTTCTCTCCGGCATCTCAATATCGAAGTTTCTTAATACACCGGTGATCAATCGGACGGGCAAATTATCGTTAATCGCGCTGCCCGCGCGATTGCAATCCTCGTCGAATATCACAATATTCGTCGTTCGAGTACTTTCAACGCTCGAGCGCGCGTTCTCCCGGGCGCGAGTCGTCGAATCCTCCACGATCACGGTTTCCGTTTCGCTCGGTATCTGTTCCCGACCGATGAATATTATGCACAGATCGTGGCCGCGCTCGCCTCCGGAACGGCGATCGTCATTAGCATTGCGAGAGAACGCCGGATCTGCAAGAGCGTTTCGATCGTTTCCCACCATACGCTCGAGATCGAACAACGAGTCCCGATTGCGCACGACCATCTCGTTGTTCACCCGGCAGACGAACTCCGTGTCGAGGTCCTCCCGCCGGAACGTCGGGAAATTCGGGAAGGACTCGCCGAACCTCGTCTGAGCGCGCCGGAAGACCCGCGCTATGATCTCGGGCTTGAAGAAGAAAGCGCTGTGCAACGTGCTGGCGGTGTTGTCGTCGACGATATCGCGCTGATGACTTTCGCGAAATCTCCCATCCTCCGAGAATTGACCGTGCAGATTCTTGTTGGTCAGTATAATGCCTCGCGGATGAACGGTGCACTCGATGTTCCTCGTGATCTCTCTGAGATTCAGCGACATATGCGCCCGTCTTGCGCAACGATCATTTAGATCAGAGCCGCGGTTCGCGTTCCGATGTACGGGGATCGTGATATTCCCGTGGCAGCTGCCCATCGAAAGACGATTATAGACGCTTGTCGGAGCCTCGACATCTTCGCATTCCGATGGCGTTTCATCTCTCGATAGATCGCGTTTTCTCTCAGTGCGCGGCTCTCTCTCGTTTCCCGGCCGTATGAGCTCGTCACGAACTCTCGAAGCACTTCGTTCGTCAACCGATTGCTGGGAACTCGGCGACAAATTATGCTCCCTTGTTCTTTCTGCCTCCCTTTTATCTTCCGGCAAGGTGGGATCGTTATAAGTTTGTAAAACTTTCGTCCCCGGCACTTCAGATTCCTTCGCCAATCGTCCGTAATTCAAGGACGAGTCGTGTTCCTTTCTCACTTCCAACTCTCTCTTGTCCTCCGACAAAGTAAGCTCGTTATAAGCCCTTAAAGCTCTCAGCTCTATCGCTTCGCGCTCCTCAATCGATAGTTTGACATTCGCCGGCGGCAGATCGTGCCTTTTTCTCGCTTTCGTCTCTCCTTTATACTTCGACGTAAAATTATTGCAGTTCTCTAAAGCCTTCGTCTTCGTCTCGTGTGCCTCCGCGTAATTCTTTTCCTTAAATGACGCCACGTTGTAAACGGAACGCAGATCGACCGATCGTTCACTTCGCATCTGCTTGTGTTTCAATCTATGTCGCTCACTAAAAGAGTCGCTCATCATCATCGATTCATCGTGAGTTTCAATCTGAGCGCTTTTTCGGCAATTTACAATTGTGGATAATTTATCAGCCGCGTCGACGACGTTCCTCGCGCATCCCGAGGGACGTGCAGTTTGGGCCGAAGACTCGCTTCCCCGGGACTGCTTTCCGCGAGATTCCTCCCATTTCTGGATCTGCTTTCTTAAACGGTACGCTTCTGAATATTTCAACGCAGATCTGTCGAGTTTGCTTCTCTGCATATTGACAATAGGTGTGAAGAACCTGAAATCCTTTCCATCAATATCGTATTCAACGTTCTTACCATCGATACCGATTGATCGCACGTGTCTGCCGGTTTTCGAACTATTGCGCAAGGCACGGTGACACGCGCATTTTTTCGAGTTTTTATAGCTTTCTTTCTTACTCGCGCCTGAACCAGTTGGCGTTAATTGCGCGTTGACTTGAGGATGCTTTCTGCGATCAACTCGGTCGATCCACTTCTCCTTCTGGTTTACGAGACAGAATTTCGCTTCTAATTTTCTCACGAGGGAGGCACACGGCTTAGCCTCCATGCTTCTCGCAGTCTTACCCTGGAATGAAGAATACTGCACAATCTTTGCGACTTCCCCTTCTTCTTCTTCTTTTCTTTTCTTTTTTGCTGTCACGTAAGTGTCACAAGATTCCATTGATTTCGCGTGATTATCTACTTTGTCAGTGACATCGTTGCCTTTTATTAACAATATATCTTCTTGGTTTCTAATCGAATTCTGTTCTTTCCCGTCAACCGGAATAATTTCGCTATCTATTTCCTCTTTTTTATTCACCGAAAAATATCCCATAATGTCTTCTTTTCCCCAAGCGCGATCTACCGCTTTTTGTAAGCCATCTTTCGCCGTCTGTTTATTTCTCGATGCATCGATCATTTCTTCTTCTTCGATCTTTTCCAAAGGGAACTGCGCTACTATGCCTTCTATCACTTCAGGTGTCTTCGCTGTCACGTCTTGTTCTTCCCAATAAGATCGCTCCTGTATCCTGGCACGCGCGTCCATTACATCTTCTGCGGTTACCTTCAGCATCCTCATCGACTTTTCAGCCACGCTCAAGTCGTTAACGTCGGAATTGTAATCATTCGTGTCGCTTGTGTCTTCGGTGATCAGAGTCGTTAAGGATTTGGCATTCGCTCTGCTGGACAATTCCTCAGACAGCCTGTCTAGATTCAACAGACTCGCGTACTTGCCCCGTCTGATTATCGCTATGCCGAGACACTCGTCGTCCAAAGAACGGTTGACTCTGCCGGGAATATTGACGATATTCGCGATGCTTCTCCGCGCGATTATTGCGAACCTGCGGATTTTCGCCATCCTTCGCAGCTGCGTGTACCACTTGAAGGTCGTGCACCATTTGCAGGTCGAGACAACTGGAACGATCGATGTTTTCACAAAGAATTTCTGTTGTTTGAGCAAGGTATCTTATGCCTGTGCTACAACTGTGCACCTTTCGTCCCTGACTGTGGACCTTTCGTCAGTTCTACTTCCATTTACTTACCTAGATTTACTGTTTTCTCTGCGATAAACTCAAAGAGGAGCGACGTCGAGCCGTTTCCCTTGCGCCACAGCAGGAAAGTGACGACAATCACGATGACTTCCAAAACGATATCTTTAAAAAGACTGAGCACCATCCAAAGTACGAGCAAGTTCTGCCGGCTTCGCGTTATTATCGTGTAGATATTAGCCACGTATGCGAGGAGCAAGATGCGATCGATGATAAACCGTGCGACGACAACCCACAATAGAACTGAAGAAATTTGTCATCCTTAGCTCTACTTCTATGATGAGAATATTTTTAGAGATCGCGTCAGAGTACGATACAATAAGAATTGGGTTTTTATGTCGAGTATATATAACACGAAGTGCTAACTCGTCTTAAGCCAGTCGATATCCTCCACATCTAATTCGTCGGGTTGCGAAACCGAGAAGTTCGAGATCTTCTCCAGTTGTCGATCCCACTTGAGCCAGCTCCAGTTCAAAGTGGTGCTGACCTTGACAAAGTGATGCAACACACTCATTATCAGTGTTCAAATAGGACAAGTATCATTACGCGAACATATCAAATCCTTACGACTTATATTTCATATAAATCTTTATACTTAATCATGAATGTAAACAATAATTATGTTATATTTATATTGTAATATGTAATATATGATAATATGTAATAGCAATCAAAATAATTTGGATGGTCGATGTATATGTAAAAGTGTAACTGACAAATTTGCAATATCACAACATGCATAATTGAAATGTGTGCGCGTTGAAATTAACCTTTACGATTTACGATCCTAGAAGCATTGTAAAAGAATAAAAATCTTCGAATTTTATTTAAATTCTACGAGGTATTGATCGTGAACACTGTTGAGATATTTACCAGGCCGAAGACATTTATGGAAAATATTTCCAGCTCAAGAGGTACAAAGCCAGACATTGTGTAACCGGTACGCTAAAACTAATTCAACCTCGAGCGTATCCTTTGTCCTTAAAATCATTCTCGATTTAAACTTTTCAATTTTGAATATTTTTGATTTAACAAATATTTTTTATAATAAATAGTAGTCTACTTAACCTGACAGGTTAAGTAGACAGAACAACTGCACGTTCGCCTGCCATCGATAGACGTGTAAAATTCCGATGTTTCGTTTTCTTTCAATTTTAATGTAATTGCGCTGAGGACAGAATATTAAATTAAAATTTAAAAAATTTTTACATTTGGATTAAATGCTTAAAAGTAGGAATAATAAATCTATTTACTATAAGGAAATAAAAAAATTAGGAATAAAGAAAGGGGTATTCGAAGGGAGCACACATTTGTACAGTAAAAGTAAGACAGCCTGAAACACTGCAACTGGTTTAACGCTCCTGCACATTTCAAGATCGTCTTGAACGAAATAATTTACCGCGCATATTATTAATTATAAACACAATCTTTAACTTGCTATTCTTTTAATTTTTCTTGAAAATACGCTTATAAAATTATGCTTTGTTATAATTTATATAATATCAAGCTTCTTCGAACAAACTCCATATTGACCACTAATTATAATCACGATTTTTAACTTGCTATTCTTTTGATTTTTCTCGAAGACACTTCTTATAATAATATTTCTTTTTTAAATATAAATATATATATTATATATACATATATCTTATAACGTTTATAGAAAAACAAAGTCCTAGAATTGTTTGAACTACCCTTTTAAAAATACTATTATATATATTACTCCTTTTCGCAACCATTTTATAAGTTGTGGCGGATTGTAATTCTCGATCAAATATTATGGTCAAGAATAAATTGATTGTGCTAAACTGGATTTAATTACTATAATTATTATTCCGGAATAAACATTGCGAGAGCGGTTCCACTTTCACGTGCGCTAAACATATAATATCTTTTATTAATAAAAAATACATATCACATGTGTAATATAGATTATGTATGTGTATATACATGTGTACAAGGAAAGTTTATTTGGTCGGAAGTTGCCGAAGCGAATCGAACGAATATTCTTATTTCAGTGATACGGAATCGTCGTCCCCGCGTGTAAAACCACTCATTACCTATGCGCGCAAATGTAGCGGGGCAATGTCAGTCGGTTCATCGCGATGTTATCTCGAGGTCGCCCAACGTGCGCAAACTAACGAGCATGTTAGTGTAGCGCAGTGCCTCGACTCTATGTCTCGGACTGTTTCTTCGAGAACCTATCGCGGAAATTACATTGTGGCGTAACAGCGATATACGCATAATATTATACACGCTATACGTAATTGCGATTTGAAAGGGCACGTGTCACTCACGTCACAAATTGATTGCTTTTCGCAAAGCAAATTTATTCTTTATACTTTTATCATCGCGTTCGTATGTGTCCGCTGATAATTCAGTTACAATTCTAAAGACGCAGAAAGCAGAAACGTCTACTCCGCTCTTGACCTCGCGACTGCGTGCTGGAATATCGAGAGTTTCTCGTCCTATTTCGTGCAGCGGTACCGCATGTAAGTATCCAGACAAGATTTTAATAAAAATAGAGACAGCTCTCAGGAAAATCGAAAACATCCTTTCCCACATCTGTATAAGGAAAGTCGCGTGAAACTTCATTAATTCGGAACGGGTGCCGGTTCGTCGCCGCGCGACTTGAGACTTCTCGGAGTTAACGACCGTGTCGAGGAGACGCGGCGACGCGCGTGGAAAGTCGCGGTCGCCGCGACTTTCCCGGAGATCAGCGAGACGCGCGACGCAAAACGTACGGATGATCGTACGAGAGCGGCAAAGTTCACCCTCGCCTCGGCAGGAGCGAGCCGCGCGGTCCCTTTGCAGGCGTGCGGAGATAAGTCTCGATCCGTAATAAAAAAGAAAAGCGTGATCGAGCACGAGCGCTCTCGAGAGCCTCGCACTCTCAAGAAAGAGAGAGAGAGAGAGAGAGAAAGAGAGAGAGAGCCCCGCGCGCTCTCCACCGCATCTCGCCGCGGTCGCGGCACCAGCGATACACGGCCCGCCCGCTCGCGTGAGTCGGAGTCGCGGTAGCGCACCGCGGAGCCGACACGCGCGTGTAGGCCTTCTCCGACGCGCCGCGGTGTTGGTGCACCGATGTAGGTGTAACGGCGCGTCGTAGGTGTATGCCACATCGCGGTTTGGCGCGGCCGCGCCGCGGCAACTGTTCTTGGCACAGTTTCTGGTCATCTCCTATTGCGAGCGGAACGCGCGCGCGTTGCTGGACCTCTGCGTGTGCGATCTCCTCCGCGTCTCTCTCTCTCGCCTCTCGCCCCGCGCCCCGCGCGCCGCGCGTCACGCACGTCACGTCTCGCGGTTCTCCTTCGTGTGTGCAGCATCCGCGTACGTTTCCCCGAGTCGGCACGCACCGTGCACCTGCGCGATCGATCCCGAGGGAGAGAAGAGAGGAGCTAACGAGATTTTTCTCCCCGAGAAAAAAAGTGAGTACGGAGCACCGAGAGAATCGTGAATCGCCGAGATACCTTTCCTCCGCGCAGTTCTACGATCGGTGACATTTAAAGGTTGTATTGTATTTTATCGGCGGGTCGAAGTACTCGGATATACGCGACTTCGTGATATCGATGCATTAATTTCTTTTTAATTGAACCGCCGATCGAAAGTGAACGCTAAATTGCCGATGACAAAGGTAACAGAATGCAAACGGTGACGCGTAAACAAGGTGGCTCGGTGATGATGTAACTGATCGTTCATAGACCGTTTTATAGTGCTGTAATAGCGCCAATCGCGTTCATATAGACTTCAGTTTTCATTCTAGCCGTTCGCTATTTCTAAATCATGTAAAATTATTAACAAAAATGACTTTTACTCGACCCAACGTATCATACCAAAACAAAGAAACTAAAAAACATTACAATGAAAATTTTAATAAAAATATTTAAGTCATAAAATAAAATAAAATAATTAATTTAATGAAAGTATCATTAATGACATCGTTATTTTAATTAATAGAAACTATGAATATATGTACATATCGTATGAAAAGATACTTCGAAATACCGACGAGCTCCGAGGAAGATATTTCGTAAAAGTCATAAAATCCAAGAAACTGCGTTGTAACGTAAGAGGTAAAAGAAGGCCGCACATTGGTCATGACTGAGGTATAAAAATAAAATACGCGCGCGATTTCGCACGGCGAAACCTTTAGGCGTGCCTCGTAAATAACGCGCGACGATACGTTTTCGTATAGACGCTTGGAAATCACTTGACACTGGCATTCCTCGCGTCCGTGATACTGACGCGGGACGACTTTTGCATGCGTTTTGCGGAATCGGCGACGGCTAATTAACGTCATTAGGAAGGTCTTCTGAGACTCGCGATTAATCCGATATAGCTTGCAAGACCGACCTGCTGTTATTATTCGCGCGTACAAACGCGCAGCAGCATCTTCGATCACGTAAATAGAAATCGCAAAACTGAAACCAATTTTAAATGAAACAGGACACTATTATATACAATCAATTAAGGAAATTGCCATTTAAGGTTAATAATAATAATATTCTGTGAATTTTGTATACTTCTTTCAAACTTAGTAAACTGCGCTGACTTTTTTCGGTCTTTAAAATACAGCTTTGTTAAAACTTAAATATTAAAGGATGAAATTTACTAAGTTTAGAAAAAGTATACAAAATTCACAGATTATTATTATTAAGCTATCAAGATTCAGCCCGGACCTTGAATGGCAATTTTTCTAATTGACTAAAACCAATTTATCTCTCCCTTCACTTTTTTCATTAGTGCGAACGATCAATCGATAAGGGTCTTCAAGACGACCTTTGGTACGCCGTACCAGTATCGATCTTCTCCGTTCTTCGCTTCTCTTGACAGACCGCACCCCTGCTTCTTACATTAATTGACCGTCGAATGGAGGGCACGCGAGATATCTTCGCCGTGCCTTATTCCCTTTTCTTCCTGATTAATCACCGTATCTGGGTCAAGATAACTGATATTGGCCTATTTAGCGGACCGATCGAGCAGTATCGTGTATTTTTAAACGGCATTTTTTGCGCGTAGCTTACTCACCGCCTAAATTTAAAGTCAATCGCACACGTGTAACGCACCAATCTCACCCACGTCGATCGCGACGATGTCTTCCGCGAGAGTTTCAAGCACGATAAACATTCGACCATGTGCATCGCGCTTGAAAATGCAAATTAACGCCGGTGTCATTAAGCATCGCACCTGTCGACACACAGTACACGTTAACTTTTGTAGAATAACATGAGATTTGTAAAACGTAAAATATTCTTTAGACGTATAATTGAAGCTGAAATTAGTCGATACTTCATTCGGAACGTGGCTAAATCTAAATTTATTATTGACTAATAGATTTACGCAAACGTACATGAAGTCATTATTAGATCATAAGTTAATGTAAACACGTATATATATACATTCTCTACTTTCGTAATTGATATCCATGTCATTTTAATATAATCAATGCCTTCGGCAACGATTACGCAAACGCGTAACACTCGTTTATCGCGGGAGCTTGGAGTAGACTGCATAATACCGACATTTAAAGCGCTCGCTGTCTTTAGGAAAATGATCCCCGAGCCTCACAGTGATCTCTTGTACGGTGACGCAATCACTTTTTGCGCAAGCCGGATAGAATCGCTCATTTCAAGCAGCGCATAGTGCGTTCTTCCGGGATGCACCTACAAGTAGCAGCTCCTTATCTATTAACCAAAGCAACATTTGCGTTACGTCGCGAGCGTTGCAACTGTAATTTTAGAAATTTTCGTCACATAAAGTGCCACCACACTTTATCATTTCTGTGATTGTTTCTCCGATAGATTGCTACTTCGATTTCTTGCCGAGATATATCTTTTCTAACGAAATGACCGATAGTCAATATAGTGACATTCGTCATCGCCGATTATAACACCTAAAGTGAAAAATTTTATGCAAAATTTATGCATTCTTGTGCGAACTATTCGTCAACAGACCCCGAAACCGGTTTAGCACGGCTCGTGTAGCTAGACCTAGAAAATGCGCCAGAAATTCCCCGTCGATTAGTCCGGCATCGAGTAGAACAATTCTCGGCGTTAACTAGCCGTGTCATTTAATTGTTCCGTATTTTCCATTTAACGTCCGCGAAACTGACGGCGAGTCTTCACGCCGTTTAGTAAATTTACTTTGGACTTTCTACAAAGATCATCTCACGAAAGATACAAGAAACGGTTCGTTTAAATTTTTCTTCCTTCTGAACCGAGATGGCCGAGATACCGAGGCCTCTTAATGTCTTTTTTTTTGTCGACAGCCACGCTCTCGAGTGTCGGTCAAGTACAGCCGTCGAGTTACCGTGAACCACCAAGGTAATCTTAATCGGCCGGTCATTATTCGACGGTGATGCGGTGGCTTTTTACGCGTAGGACCGTGAGGACGCGTTTCCTTATGAGGATCGGTAGACCTCGGGCGAACTTGGTCGGCGAACGTATGGTCGCGGCCGCGTGTACGCGATTCCTTGGCGATCTTGCTTATTCTCCGGCCGACCTCAGAAAGAAATATCGGACTCTTCGAGCCAACACGCCTACTTTCGTTTGTTTGCTATTCGCTTGGACAAAAATACGACTTGTGCACTGTTAAATATTAAAGAACGAAATTTAAACCGGTATCTTTTGAGTCAGATAACATTTTGTTGTTTTTAGCTATTTTTTGTGCCGAAATTTATTAGTTTAACACAAAACAGTATTATTTTAAGTTAACTCCATTGGTTCAGTTAAATTATCACATTGTTTGACATATTGAGTAGGAGCAGTGGCGATTTATATAGGAACGGTTAAAATTGACTCAAATTGAGTGTAATTGGACACTACGAATTTAACAGTGTACACGTTGACTTTAAAAATAACTGTAGAAAGATCGCATGGTATTTTAAATTTTTTAACATATACATATATTTAGTTAAATTAACATTGTTTAATTAAATTAACGACATATT